ATGACATGGAGAGATGGTGCAGCTGGGGACTTTAGACTCAGAGACAGAGAGAGGCTGTGTACTGACAACAGGGGTGCAGGCTTGTAGTGTATACCCTTTGGTTGGTTGATGATGCATGGAGGGGATTGTTACCATGTAAATGAAACGATATACAATAGGATGAATGTATAACTAATATTCTCCCATGTAAACTATCACATAATTCACAATGAAACATTTTTTTAAAATACTTGCTTGTTTTCTTTAATCTTAAATTACTGTGTTTTAAAAGAGAAATGTAGGCATGAAACCTATTTAAATCTAACCAGTAACCAGTTACCTAACTCCATGTGTTTCAGTTTTCTCTGTTTGTGATGTTTTAGAAATAATCATTAGGTCTTTTCTCTGATGCCCCTCTGGGTGGATTCTTTGATAAAAGAAATATTACCATTAGAAACCAGTGGGTGGCACAAATGATTTCTTTCACAGTGGAAGATTTCTTGGACCCCTTTACCATCTTTCCCAATCAGACTAATTAAATCTTACACTGTCTCCTGGTGTTTTATTCTGAGTTTGGAACTGGTTCATTCTGGTTTGATCCCCTGCTGTAAAAAATTTACAGTCTGAAAAACTCTATGTTGCTATGAGTAGGAATCCACTCCATGGCAGTGAGTGGACTAAGAATTTGCATAATATAACCTTTGTCTTATTAGCTGAATGCACAATAATTTGTGCTACCTGGGGATATCTAGATCTGTCACTGGTTACAAATTGGGCTGCTAACTTCAAGGTCGGCAGTTCGAAACCACCAGGTGTTCTGCGGGAGAAAGCTGAGGTTTTGGGCTCCCGTAAAGATCTGCAGCCTTGGAAACCCTGTGCAGGGTCACTATGAGTCGGAACCGAATCCATGGTACTTAACAACAACAACAACATCACTGGTTTACAATGGTAATATCACTTTTATCAGTGTGTAGAAGTTTTAAAAGAAAGATAATAAAATGTGTTAACTGCATGCATATTATCTGAAGCATTTTTAATTATTGTGAAAGAGAAGCCCTTTTCTTATTGGTTCTTGCTATTTACCCATTTGTATTTAAATTAGTGTAGAATTAATAGCTATCATCTCATTTAATGGAAGCAAGATGTTACATTATAAAGTTGCTATATAAGATTTTATTCCATAACAGAGAAAAAAAGAACTATTAGAAAATGGTTAGCATTTAAAATAGCTCTAAAATACATTGACAACTCTAAATGGTGTACAGCTTTAAAGAATCCCTCCTGTCTTGTTGAACAGCAAATTCTAGTAAAAATCACAGCCAAAGAGCTCCAGGCGAAGGGCAATACTTTGATTCCATGTTTTAGGAATGATGCGAATAAATCTGGAAATGATTGGTGGATTGAAAAAGTTCTTTGCTTGTCCTTTGGTATTATTATTTCCTTTGAATATCTGAAAGCAAACATGAGAAAAATCTTTTAATCATACCATAATGGACACAAAACAGTTACAAATTATGTTTTTGGCCTTTTAGTTCACATTGATGGTATCAAAAAACACATACAACACTGCCACAAGATGGACCCAAATCAATGATGCAATCAATTGCCAGACTGACCGCCTTAGAATCACATGATCCAACTTGAGTTTGGGATGGAGCAGCTGTAGACCCATTACTGCCCTTAGCCATTCTGTATCTGTGTGATTTTGAGCCTGTTACTCCCAGAAAATTTTACCTCCCAGAAGCTGTTACATAAAGACTAAAGGAATATGTGCAAATATATGTGTGTGCCTAGTAAGTGCCAGATACTGGGCACCAGTCAATGGAGTCCTGGTGTGGTGATGTAGGATAAAGCACTGGACCACAAAGTTGGTGGTTCAAATTTACCAGCCACTCCTTGGAAACCCTATTGCTGTTGTTGTTATTAAGTGCTGTCAAGTCAGTTCTGACCCATAGCGACCCTGTATAGGGTTTCCAAGGGGTGACTGATGAGCTTGAACCACCGACCTTGTGGCTCAAACTGACTGCAATCCAGCACATTAACTCACAGCACTGAGGGTCACTATAAGTAGGAACCTACTTGATGGCACTAACAACAGTAACAATCCATGGTTTAACTCTTACTAACATTTAAAATATAATGTGATCTTGTGTTTTATTTCTCTTTGAGGGTACATGCTTTCTGTCCCAAACTAAATGTTTTAGCCTTAAAAAAATGTTTTATCTGTTTTTGTTCATCCTCAGAAAATTCCCTAAGATTTACACACAGAAGAAGATAAATCACTGTTTAGTTTTGACAATAATAATGATGCTTCTTCTGTTATGAAGACCTGCTCATGGTGTAGTGAAAAGTGCAGCACGCTAAACCAATCAAATAAAAAATAGGGATTTAAAAGAGAGAAATAGGTTCAAATTCATTAGATGAGATAAACGATAGACATATAAGGAACACTCAATAAATACTAGCTCTCTCATGTGCTGTTCCTTTTACTGGCTTTAGCCCAATACCCGTTCCTGGAACACTAGGCACATTTCCTTAGCTTTGCCTCTGTTAGGATTTCTAAAGCATATTAACTAGTAAATTTAAGAATTTAGAAATGTAATGAAGTAGTTCATCTTGCAGGAAATTCCAGCCTTCCCATAAATAGGGATACCAATTGTTTCGCCCTTAATCACAATATAACACAGAAATGTTACTGTCTTGAATATTGTGATCATTCATGAATGACAAGTACACTAAAGGTAATGCTGTTGTTGTTGCTGTGTGCCATTTAGTTGGTTCCGACTCATGTTGTTTTTATTTGTTAGTGCTATTGAGTCAGTTCTGACTCATAGAGACCCTGTATAGGATTTCCAAGGAACAACTGGTGAGTTTGAACTGCCGACCTTATGGTTCGCTGTCCTGTGTTTATCCTATAGCGCCACACCAGGAGTTCTAGGTTATAATTCATAGCAACCCTGTATATAGGGTTTCCAAGAGGTGGGTTTGAATTGTCAGCCTTGCACTTATCAGTCAAGTGCTTATCCTACAACACCACACCAAGTAATGCTAATATGGTGAGGGTTCACAGTGGAAGATTTTCTGGACCCCTTTACCATCTTTCCCAGTCAGGACGAATTAAATCTTATAAGATTCCTTGGTGTTTTAATCTCAGAACTGAAACTGGTTCATTCTGATTTGACCACCTGTTGCAAAGACTTACAGTTTGAAAAACCCTATATTGGGTTGCTATGAACAGTAAGCTACTCCACGCAGTGGGTGAACTGAGAATTTGTATACCCCAGATATACTGAATCAGAATCTGCATTTTAACAAAATGAGTTATATAGTAGATATCCTCATAGAATCATCTGGGGATCTTGATAAAATGTGGATTCTGATCTGGGGTGGAAATGGAAATTCTCTACAGGAGGTTGAACTGGAATGAATCTGTTCAAAGTCCTGTTTATTCTATGCCACACAGTCAAAGCAGAAAGGTGATGTACCTGGTGTCCCAAGTCCAGGTGTCTGCAGAGCTAGTATTTAGAAGACTAAAAGATGTTGTGCTTGTCTATACATTTTGTCAAAAGCAAGGTATCTTTATTCTCATCACAGCAATTTTCAAATTCCTTTCCCTTTGTCAAGAAGCCACCCTGTACCTTGTCCACCATGACGAATTCCTCCCTGTAAGGTTTCCATTCCACTCCATGGTCGCTGTAGTGGATGGCATAACTCTTCACATACATTTCAGAGGACAGAGACTTGCAGCCTTGTGTCACAATTGCAGTTATCTTCTTGATTTTCAGCAGATCAATCTGTAGCCACTGCTTCATGTTGTTTGCCTAGGAACGTGATGAAAACGTGGAAGGCAGATGTGAAAACCTTTGCCTTTTTTTTTTAAACCAACATAGTCAGGATTGCACAGAGCTTAAAACAATTTCAGTATCGTCTTTTCTCTTAGGATTCACCATCTCCATCAAGCCTTCCCTTACTCCTTCTTGTTTGTTGCATATGTGTAATTTTTTAGTGTATTTATCATGTATTATAAAGAGCTCTGGTAGCATAGTGGTTATGAGTTGGCCTGCTAACCTTAAGGTCAGCACTTCAAAAATACCAGTTGTTCTGCAGGAGAAAGATGAGGCTTTCTGTTCCCATAAAGATTTACAGCCCCGGAAACCCTGTACATGGACACTATGAGTCGGAACTGACTCCATGGCACATAACCAACCAACCAACCAACGATGCATTGTACAGTAGCTATTTTCTTTACTTGTTATATTCCCTCCTCTTTGAGGAAAGGGCCTTATTAATTTTTATGCCTTGGTATCTACCACAATCCTTGTCATACAGTTGGTATTCAGTAAGTATTTGTTGAGTGAATGACTGAATTTTACTTAAGAAAATATATGAAGTTGCTAAATTATCTGTAAATATCATCTTCTTAAGCAAGTCAGTTTATGAGACTATTGCTGAAGGGTCATCAAGGAAAGATATGGAGACACCCCCCTCTTTTTATTTTAGAAACTTCCAAACATATGCAAAAACACAGATACTAGCATAATGAACTGTTATGGATTGAATTATGTTCTTCCAGTCCCATTTGGGAGTTATCTTTGTTATGGTAATGAGACAGGATTAGTGTAGGGTGTGATTTGAGTCAATCTGTTTGAGATATAAAAGAAATTAAAGCAAGCACGTTAAGAAGGAGAGATAGGGTAAGAAAGATGCCAAACCACTGGGAGATCGTCAAGGAACCAGAAAGCAAAAGTAGAAGAGACAAGGGAAACAAATCCATTTTCTTTGCTCATCTTTTAAATCAATATAATATTTGAGAGCTCTGATAAAGCCACACCTAAAACTTGATAAACTACACGGTAATTGTCAGGTTTCTGGCCTAACAAGCTCTCTTAGAATTGATCTAATCACATATTTGGTGACCTACGCTTAGAGAAAGAGGAGTTGAGTTTCAGAGTGATCTAAGATGAATTTTCACTTTGGGAGATTTATTCTGCCCTCCTGTTGTTGTTGTTGTTAAGTGCCATTGAGTCAGTTCTGACTCATAATGATCCTGTGTAGGGTTTCTAAGGAGCAGCTGGTGGGTTTGAATTGCTGACTTTGTGGTTCAAAGTCTAGCGCTGATCCTACAGTGAGTGAGTGCCATACCAGGAGTCCATCCTACCCCATAGACATATTCAATTCTTTATGAAATAATGTATGTGATATATGTTTCCTCAACCAAAGCCATGTATTTGTGTATGTATGTATACATATATGCAGGTATGTGTGTATTTGCATGCCGTATGTATTTTAAAAATAAAATTAAATGATTGTATTAGAAAATATTTTACTAATATTGTAACACTATCTAGTGAGGTTTGAATGGTGTCTTAGTGTCTCTTCAACTCGGGCTCAGAGCAGTGAGGAAAAATGAAGGTGCCTAGAGGATTTCTGCAGGCATAATAGAAGCCGGGATACTTGAGGCATAGGTCAATGAACGTCTACATGTGGACCTCCATAGGTCTTTCTTAGACTTTCAACCTCTCCAACAAGAACCCAGTCAGGATATTTCTTGCTAATGGAAGGTTAATCTAATAAAATATTTCTAATCTAGAATTCCTGGTGTGGCGCTGTGGGTTGATGCACCAGACTGCTAAGCCATTTGAACTGCAAAGACGGCAGTTCAAGCTCACCAGCTGCTTCTTGGAAACCCCATACAGGGTTGCTATGGGTCAGAACCGACTGAACGGCACTTCACAACAACAATCTAGAATTCCAAATTTTAAAATGACAGTGTTAAAAATAAAAATTAGTACTTCATCTTTGGGGCCTTTCTCACAAAGATGAAGAGATAATTATGTGCACAGCAAAAGTAACAAAATGCTGTAAAATGGAGGGTTGGGGTGACAAGTTTAATCATGAGCAATTCTAAAGGGCCATTTGGGAAATGACTGAATGACAGCCTCTTCAGCTTTTTGTTATTTTCTTTATATGATTATACAAATATCATGCAATGTATTATTATTTTGTTATCTTAACTTCTGTGGATCTCAGTTTCACACTCTGTAAAATTAAAAAGTGAGGTATTTGGGTTGCCTGAAATGGTGGAAGGAACATTAGCCTGTTTAGCAGGAGAATTGGATTCCAGTCCTGATTCTGCCACCAGATTAAACTAAAATTATAGTAGCGTAGTGGTTACAAAATGGGCTGCGAGCCACAAGGTCAGCAGCTCGAAACTACCAGCTGTTCCGTGGGAGAAAGATGAGGCTTTCTGCTCCCATAAAGATTTACAGCCTTGGAAACCCTGTATAAGGTCGCCATGAGTAGGAACTGACTCCATAGCACACAACAACAACAACAACAACAACAAAATGTTATCTCTTAAAGGTTTAGACTTGAAAGCCAAATTCTGGATTAGCTGTTTTACAAAATCTCTTACCACTGTAAGATTCTGTAATTCTATGATGGGCCAGAAATGAGTGTTAAAGCAACAGTCAAGAAATCAAATGACGTATTTCATTAAGCAAATCAGCTGCAGAAAACCTCCCTAAAGTGCTAAAAAGCATAGCTGTCACCTTGAGGACTAAGGTACCTGACCCAAGCTGTGGTATTTTCAATCACCTGATTTACAAGCAAAAGCTGGACAATGAATAAGAATAATTAATGCATTTGAGTTATGGTGTTGGCAAAGAATATTGAATATGCCACGGACTGGCTACCTGAAGAACAGCCAAAACTGTCTTGGAAGAAGTACAGACAGAATGTTCCTTAGAAGTGAGGATGGCAAGACTTCGTCTCATGTCCTTTGGACATGGTATCAGGAGGGATTAGTCCCTGAAGAAGGACAGCCTATGGGGTAAAGTAGAGAGTCATGGAAAAAGGGAAAGACCACCAACAAGATGGATTGACACAGTGGTAAAACGGTGCTAAAATACAGCAATAACTGAGAGGGAGGACGGTGCAGGACCAGGTAGTGTTTATTCTGTTGTAGGGTTGTTACAAGTCAGAACTGACTCGATGGCATCTAACAACAACATTAATAATTACCCTAAAGTTTAGTCACCGGAAACACTTGACTAATTAAATAATTATATAATTCATTCATTAATATCAGTTAGGAACAATATAATGCTTTGTGTGTGTTGCTGTTAAGTGGATTTTTATTTATAATCATTCATTCATTCATTCATATCACTTAGGAACAATGTAACACTTTGTGTTGTTGATGTAAAGTGGATTCTGACTTACAGCAACCCTGTATAGGGTTTCTGAGGAGCAAGTGGTAGATTTGAACTGTTGACCTTTAGATTAGCAGTCCAGAGCTTATCCTATAGCGCCACAACAGGAATGCTTTGGAAGGTGTTTATTAAGCACAGATGACTGATTTATAACTCTAGATTTACAACATTTTATCCTACCTTAAATTGTCTCAAGGGATGTTACAAATCTCTTTTGAAAATGGGAATAAAGATTTAAATGGTACTCTTATGAAAATAAAAAATATTGCTAAATTGAGAGAGGAAAAAAAAGAGATGTTGCAATTTAAAATCATTTGCTTCTCAGTAATTTGTTGTTATTGTTGTTGTTAGGTGTTGAGTCAGGTTCAACTCATAGTGATCAAAATACTGCCTGGTTCTGTGCCAACCTCACAACTGTTGTTATGTTTGAGCCCATTGCAGTCACTGAATCAAACCATCTCATTGGGGATCTTTCTCTTTTTTTGCTGACTCTCTCCTTTACCAAGCATGATGTCCCTTATTCTCACCATCCTGACTTCTAAAGAACATTCTGGCTGTACTTCACCAACACAGAATTATTTGTTCTTCTGATAGCCCAGGGTACTGTCAATATTTTTCACTAACACCATATTTCAAATGTAAGTTATAAGGAGCTCTGGTAGCGTAGTGGTTACGAATCTTAAGGTTAGCAATTTGAAACTACCAGCTGTTCCGCAGGAGAAAGATGAGGCTTTCTGCTCCTGTAAAGATTTACAGCCTTGGAAACCCTGTACAGGGTCGCTATGGGTCGGAACCGACTCAACGGCACTTAACAATAACAATATAAGTTATATAAATCAGGAGTATGCAAATCATTGCCCACGCATTAAATCTTATCAGTCAAATCTCATTTATTTTTATAAATACAATTTTATTGGAACACAGCCATCATCATATATACACATATTACTTATTACTGCTTTTCTGCTATGATGGCAGATTTGAAAAGCTAGAACAAAGAATGTATGATGGCTCACAAAACTAAAACTATTTATTATCTGGTCCTTACCAATTCCTGTTCTAAATTAAGGCCAGATCAAGAACCACACAGGTGATAAAGTGACTTCTCTCTCTCAGTCAAAGATTCGGGCTAAAGCTATCATGTTAGCAGACATCCTAGATTTGGGGGCCTAGAATCTTAATCTGCAAAGATGGAAACAATATTTCTGTTTCCTAGGATTCTTCCCTTTGCTCACACCCTCTCCCAACCCACCCACACAGCCCCATTTCTTGTAGTAAGGGCCTTTGTGTGTTTGTTTGTTTTCCTGAAGGGCTGAGAGAACTCCATTCACAAGGGATACTTCACCTTGGCTTGCCAGGCGTTCACACGGCCCTGGGCATTGAGCCGGGCATAAGAGGGTTCCCAGTAATCTCCCCACCAAGATTTTTTAAACGAGGAAGCTGTGATTTGTTTGTTTTCTATCTTCCCACTTTCCATACCCAGTGGTGTGGAGCACCCTGCCAAGAGAAAAATCATGTCATTAATTATGCTCAATCTGTATTCCCTGCATGGCATTTTGCACTGCAGAAGAGATAAGAAATAATATTCCTACCAAGTACCAACAAAAACAAACCACCCTAACAATGAATATTTATTGAACCCAAGTGCCAAAAAACCATTCACAAGCTTTATTTGTATTAATTAATGATTCTAATTATCTTCACTTTACAAATGAGAATTCAAAAGAACAGGAGGAAAAAATAACTTGCCTAAAGTAACGCAGCAAAAATTATTAGGGATTGATTCTGAGCCCAGGCTATCTGACATCAAATGCATGTTCTAAGCATCTAAAGTCACTTCCTCTGTTTAACAGAGCATGATATATCTAATGGTCATGACACCTTTGGTCTTTGAGATAGACAATGTTCTAGAATTATCAATATACTGGGAGATGAAAACATATTCTGTTTCTTCTTCTAACAAAAGCTACAGAAAAAAAGATATGGTAGCTCCTTGGTGTTGTTATTGTTGTTGTTAGGTGCCATTGCATTGGTTCTGACTCCTATGACCCTGTGCACAACAGAATGAAACACTGCTCAGTTCTGCACTAACCTCATAATTGCTACACTTGAGCCCATTGCTGCTGCCAGTGTGTCAATCTGTCTCACTGGGGTCTTCCTCTTTTTCACTGCCCTTTCACTTTACAAAGTATGATGACCTTCTCACGGGACTCCAAAGTACAAGGGTCATATGAAGTCTTGCCACCCTCATTTCTAAGAAATATTACATGGTGACTAATAAGGAGCTCCTAATCTAGATATAATAATCTAGAGATTATTTCAGCCAGTCAGAGAGCTGACACCATCTATAAGAATAATGCCTTGATGGTATGGATGCTGTCCTGCCTCTCCTAAGAAGGGCCTTAACTCAAAGGTAATTTACCTCAGTGATAATAGAACCCCAGTTTTCTAGAGCTCTTTCCAGCAGTCAAAGTCATTGAAGTGAACTAAAAATTTTACCCATGTGCCCATCTTAATTTTCTGAGTGGCAGGAAGAAAATAATGCATCTTTGTTCCTTACCATTAACCTCACAACCTTGCAGCTCCATTCGGAGGGTAGGTCTGTTATAGGATCTAGTTGGTGAGATCCTAATATATCTAGCCACAATAGGTGGGTCAAACAGGTTATCTTTTATTGTAGAGGCATCTGAATTGCCATCAAAATACTGGAAGAAAATAGGAAAACTTAGTAATGAGACTTAATTCTTTCAAAGCTATTTTACAATACACAATTTAATATCATTTTTTTTTCACAAATAAGATTTTTTATTTGTCACCATTAAAAGTCTGAATTTTAAACAGATTCTTGAACCCGTGGTTCATAGCCATCAGCTCGTTCAACTTTAGCACCTGTCTCATCTCCAGTAGCTTTTCCAGAACTACTGCCTTCACCATGAAGCTCCATGAGTTTTCCCAGCTCAAACTTAGGCTTCTTCAGCATTTTTACTTTCCTAACAAACACGTCATGGAGAGGGTAAATAGACTGGCACGCCTTCACTATGTCCTTTCCAATGCTGTCTGGAATCAGTTTATTGACCACTTCTTTCAAGTCATTTGTCTGCACCTCTCGGGTCATGATTTCCATCATTTTCTTCCGGATTTGATGGACCTGTTGGTGCTGAGCATAAGATGGCTTCCGAATCTGGTTGTTGCGTTTTTTAGTAAAACCAACACAGAACAGGCGAAGTAAATAACCATCTGTAGTCTTGACATCAACATGAGCTTCAATCACGGTCTGCCATTTTTTGACCATGGAGCACATTTTGTCACGGGAAAGATCCATGCCATGGAAGTTGGTCAAGCAGTTTTTGCCCTGAACATCCTCAGTAATTAGCTTGAATTTTCTAAATGCAACTCCATCGTTCTGCAGATCAGCAAGACTCACTTCAAAAACACGACCCTTGAGTCCATCAGATGCAATTTTGGTTCCTTGAGTCCTTGTGACTAGTGTTTTCCCAATATTTCTTACATTGAACATAGCTGTTGCCTTTACATCATACCAATCTTTCTTAGAAAATGGATCAACCACTTTCTTCTTGGCTCCTTTTTTGCCACCTTTTGTAAGGCGCTTGTTCTTGCCGACCGCCATGGTGCTGCTCAGAGAGCCAAAAGGGCGGAAGTACCTTAATATCATTTTTATGTTGTGATATTAAGTTCTCATGTGATCTGTTCAAATCCATTTGTTCTTAAAAATTAATTGGGGAAATGCCCATTTTTGGTAAGATGGTAAATTCTATTCCTCCTGATAAACACAGTTAACAACCCTGGACATTCATTATATATAAAATAAACATTAAGAAGACTCAAGGGAAATCAAGGAAAATTAAAATACAACATATCAGAATTTGCTGGAACTATGTTGAGAGGGAAATTTATAGCACTGTATGCATACATCAATAAAAAAGAAAAGTCGAAAATCAATTCCCACCTCAAGAACCTAGAAAAAAGAAGAGCAAAATAAATGTAAACCAAGCAGAACAAAGCTAAGAACTTCAATCAGTAAAACTGAAAATATAAAAGCACAAAAAATCAATATAGCAAAGCTAATTTTCTAAAAAGATCAGTAAAATTGATAGACCTTGAACAAAACTAACAAAGTACAAAAGCGATATCATTGACTAGTATCAGGAATGAAACAGGGGTTATTACTACAGATCCCTCAGACATCAAAAGAATATTAAGAGAATATGACAAACAACTCTATATGTATAAATTGAACAATTTGGTGATAATGGACCAATTTCTTGAAAAATGCAAGCTAGCCCAACTCATTCAAGGTGAAAGAGATCATTTGAAGAGTCCTATAATTGTATAAATGGGTTACACATTTGGGCTGAGCTGCTAATCGCAAGGTCAGAAGTTCTAATCTACCAACTGCTCCACAGAAGAGCTTTTCTGCTCCTATAAAGGTTTACAGCCTCAGAAACACTATACAGGGTCGCTATAAGTCAGAAACACCTCCATGGCACACAACAAGTAACTAGTAGAGAAATTGAATTTGTAATATAAATACTGTCTCCCCCCTCACCAAATCTGTGGGCACAGATTGTTGCATTGGAGAATTCTATCAACATTTAAAGAAGATTTAACAGAATCTCTTGCAGAAAACAACTAACCAAGAATGCTTTTCAATTCATTTAATGAAATATCACTCTGATATTAAAACTGAAGCTACTACAAACAAATAGACATACCATTGTACCTCATAAAGAAAGATGCAGATATCTTTAAGCTATGGACTCTCACTACAACTTCTCGTCTCTCTCTAATACTGATTAGAGAGAACCATAATTTAACATTTTTTCTGACGTGTTCTAAGGTATATAGCAAATAACTAATTATTGGAAATAGTAATTTCTTTCTAGATGTCTAGTAATGTATTGCTTAAAAATAATAAATGGTTTACATAAAAACAAATGGATACAGATTGAAGATAATTAGTATAAGATGACAGATAGCATTTAGACAGCTTTGGGAGGGTGGGGGAGGGAGTGTTTAGGATAGAATGGGAAATGTTGGAGTAAATACAACCTAGCCATTAGGAATAACCGTAGTTGAGCTCACAGGAGATTTAGCAGGGAACATCATTCCTCAGGCATGTTGTAATAACAACAAAAAAATCTGAGAATCCAAAAAGATGGAGACAGCATAAAGGCTCGTCAACGGAATAATGGTTAAACAAACTTTGGTACATACACACAATGGAATACAACACAATTTTGAAAAGCAATGATGAATTTGTGACATACCTCAAAACATGGATGAACCTGAAGGATGTTATGCTGAGTGAAATTAGTCAATTCCAGAGGACAAATATTGTATGAGACCACTAGGTTTTATGCTAAAAGAAACATTCTTTGATGGTTACCAGGGGTGGGAAAGAAGGGAGAGTAATTCACGGACTAGAGGGTTGTTGTTAGGTGCCATCGAGTTGGTTCTGACCCATAGCGACCCTGTATAGGGTTTCCTAGGAGCAGCTGGTGAGCTTGAACTGCCAAACTTGAGTTCAAACTGACTTTGTAGTTCAACACACTAATCCACAGTGCCACACCAGGACTAGAGGGTTGTTGTTAAGTACCGTGGAGTCGGTTCTGACTCATAGTGATCCTGCACAGGGTTTCCAAGGCTGCAAATCTGTATGGGAGCAGAAATCTTCATCTTTCTCCTGCAGGACAGCTGGTAATTTCTAACTGCTGACCTTAAGGCTAGCAGCCCAATTCATAACCACTACACTACCAGAGAGGCAATATATAACATGCGGGATGTTGGCAGAAGAATGATGAAGACAGGTGAAGACACAGGGAGGAATGAAAGGGTTAAAGGGGATAGAGGTAAACACTGTTACTCACAACCCTGCAACAACAGTGTTTGACAGGTAGATGGACAGGTATACAAGCTGAGTTGTTATCGGAGGGATAGTGGGAGTATGCTCACAAATATATAAGGGTTTGACAGAGGATATTTGTACATATGTATTAACCTTTGGTACAAACACACCTATGAATGTGGTGGAGAATACAAGGGAAAAATGATGAAAACTTCTTAGATATTATCAAACACCTTAAGATAATGATTACTGGGCCTGGAGGCTCAGGACCATAGTCTAAGGGGACACCATGGTCACCTGGCAAACACAGTCCACAAAGACTTTGTTCTACATCCTACTTTAGTGAGTAGTGACTGAGATCTTGATCTCAGTGTGGGATGCACTTGTGGTCACAATGAAAATAAGAGGAAGTACTAAAAGCATGAAACTGATTTCCTGAGACTTCGAAGAAGCTGAAGACCATTCACAAAGTGGATACTAAAGTTTGTTCAATAGCAGCAGCCCTGTACTCCACAGGGAATTCACCATCACATTCCAACCCTGTGATCAGAGCAATGGAAGATATTTTAATACAGATGGGAAAACCTGGAATTGAAGAAGAAGCCATTGTATTCATGAGGCTGCACTAGTGTGGAGCAAAAGGGGCGTCTTGGTGATCCACAGATGGTAGGAGGATGAATCTTGACTCTGCACCTTGATAGAGAGCCATGGGTATGTTTTAAAACTGCTCTGGCTTCAATTTTCTCAGGATTGTTATGAGTATTAAACTGGATAATGTGAATCAAGGTTACAATCAGATACATAGTGGACCTACAATAAATGAATAGTAATGTGGAAAAAAAAGCTCATGAGCAGCCATCTAAGGTGTAACTATTGGTCTTTTCATGTGTGTAGGATAAAAGAATGATGAAAATTGAAGGCACTTGAAATCAATTAGTCCAATGGACTAATGGAACATGTGAACATCAATCTCCACAATTCTGAGACCAGAACTAGATAGGTAGAAAAATTACCCATTGCTGGAAAGGGATCACATTAGAAGATTCTGGATAGAGAGGGAGAAAATGTGGAACAAAACTCAAAAATTATAAAAAAGAGACCTGGCTTACTAGTCAAAAAGAGACTGGAGGAACCTGAGACTATGGGCCTTGGGAAGTCTGCAGGTCTGGAACAGAACTCACTCTCATGGCCCCAATTTTCAGCCAATCAGTGGATAGATATATAGGAGGACAACAACACTAGGGATACATGTTCACCATGGAATGGTCAAACATTCAAGATTAAAAGGGCGACATTTACTTAAGGACAAAGTTCAGAAGGGATGGGAAAGAGGGTGGGATGGAAATAAGAACCACACGGAGGAAGTGGGATCACTGTTGTTGCATGGAGGGAGTGCAATCATTGAGATGAAACAGAGTGTATGATTTGTTGAATGTAAAACTCATGATCTGTTCTATAAGCCATCACTATAATACAATATAAAGTGTCAAAAAAAGAGAGAAGTCTGAGAACTACCCACTTTTAGAGTCTTAATGGCATTAACACTATCATTTCCTTCAGGTATAATGAAATAAAGAATAAAATACAAAATTTAGTAAAATCAAAACTCTTGGCCAATTTTTAGCATGAGCTCTGTGAAGTAGCAGACTAGATACTTTGCTCTGCTGAATACCATCAGTCAATCTGAGAAGTTGGATATTTTGTTTGATGGCAAACTGATTTTTCAAGTTCTGTTGGGTTGTGAAGTTTCAGAAGTCCAACATATCCCTTTAATTTGTAATGCACAGACCCCTCACATCATCACATTCCTCCATTCACAGTTTCTAAACCCAGAAATGTATTACTTTTTTTTAGTAAAAAATAGCATAGTCATAAGCATAGTCAAGTAACCCTGGGCTCTGTTTTAAGATTGAGATAGAAACACCACACAGACCATTATGTTTTTGATGCTGTTCCCTTTGAAGATCTGCCAGCTTGTAAGGTCAGAACTGTAAGCCACATAGAACTCCATAGTATAGTAGGGCTTCAGGTAGTGTTTGGCACCTTGGGTCTGGATCCCTGTCAATATGACTTTCCTTTGTAAGTCCACCTGCAACACAGTAAAGCTATTCAACAGAACCGTCCTTGCCAACAAATCACACACTGCCTTCATTCATTAGACAGTTTTGTTTAGAACTAAAGAGTCAGCAGGCAAATAAAATGCCTAACTACGATGCATATTTGAACACAAAGCACCCAGATGTACTACTAACTAACTGTGTATAATTGTGGGAAATTAGTTAACCTGTCTGTGCCTCAGAATTTTTATCTGTAAGGTAGATATTACTAGGCAAAGTCTCACATGGTTGATTTTCAGGCTTCTGAGTATTTAGAATGGTGCCTATCAGTTTCTAATTGCCATCAAGTCGACTTCAATCCATGGCGGCCCTACGTGTGTCAGAGTAGAACTGTGCTCTGTACGCTTTTCAATAGCTGACTGTTTTGGAAGTAAATCACCAGGCCTTTCTACTGCAATGTTTCTGGGTGGACTGAAACTTCCAACCTTTCTGGTTCACAACTAAGCACATGAATCATTTGAAACACCCAGGGACTCCCAGAAGAATGCTTAGCACCTAGTAATTATTATTTGACCAACATCATTGCAACAACAACAAGAAGAAGAAATTCGGAAAAGCATTGTCATTGCTACTATTATAACAGCAGCAGATTTCAGGTTAGTGAAGCACACCTGGATCCAGGGGTTAGAGCCAAGTTCTCTTGAAAGTTTTTCTATGCTCCATGCATTATACGATCCGCCGTTGTTTAATCTTGCTAATTTAGGCTCCCAATGACCTAAATTCAGAGGAAGAAAACATTTATTCTGAATTATTTTTAAAAGCCAGACAACTGGCAATTTCTCAAAGGAATTTCTTTTCTATTGGAAAATCAGGCCCACAAAGAACCTTGTGCTGTAGTTACCAGTACAGGTGACCAGGGGTCTTGGCTACTAAGTCCATCCTAAATGATGAAATCTTGGCTTTAGATCTGTGTTGGGTCAGCTGTCACTCACCACGTATCCCTTTCCTGCACATAGGTCATGTTTGTCTTTGTTCTGTTATGCTGATGTGGCTGCTGCTGAGTGAACCTGCTTAGTAGGAAGACATGGGAGTGGGCTATGGAGCCCCATGATCCCTTGCAAATTGACTTCTTTATCTTGAGAAGGGCTTAGAGGCAGAGTGAGAGACTTAGGAGGAATTCCTTACACAGTTTCTTATATAGATTAATAGTTGGTAAATCAAAGGGCCCTACTAAATAGGATTATCATACTTGTTGGATAAAATCCTATGGATTTGAATGGAATACTACGTGTGTGCGCAAACCCAGAAAAGATGAATGGGGAAAGGTTTGGAAATGAGCACCTGACCATAAAAGTAAGCTATTCACTCCTTGCTAAATCCTTATAAGGAAGCGCACACCATAACTCAAAAGCATCAATTTTTCTACAGTCTTCTTTATTCACTGTCCAGCTTTAGCATGCATATGAGGCTATTGAAAATACTATGGCTTGAGTCAGGTGCACCTTAGTCCTCAAGATGACATCTTTGCTCTTCAACACTTTAAAAAGGTCTTGTGCAGCAGATTTGCCTAATGCAATACGTTGTTTGATTTCCTGACTGCTGCTTCCATGAGTGTTGATAGTTGATCCAAGAAGAATGAAGTCCTTGACAACTTCAATCTTTTCTCCCTTGATGTTTGTTTATTGGTCCAGTGGTGAGGATTTTTGTTTTCTTTACATTGAGATGTAATCCATACCAAAGACTGTGCTCTTGGATCTTCATCAGTAAATATTTTAAGATCTCTTCACTTTCAGCAAGCAAGGTTGTATCATCTGCATATCGCAGGTTGTTAATGAGTCTTCCTCCAATCCTGATGCCATATTTTTCTTCATAGAATCCAGCTTCTCAGATTTGCTCAGCATACATGTTGAATAAGTATGGTGAAAGAATACAACCTTGTTGCACACCTTTCTTCATTTTAAACCATTCAGTATTC